GGAGCATAGCCTGGCACTTCTGTCCTACTTGTGGTTGTCCGCTGTGTAAACAGAGTGCTAGGCTAGATAGGGCTTTGGCCTGATCCAACACGATTCTTCCTAAGGCCTTATGATGTTCCAGTCTGTGAAAGAACATATGAATTCAGATGGGTTGAAAATCAAAATCCTTCGGTTTTCATCACTTTGGGGCTTTTTTTGCAGGTCATGAAAACCACTTTCTTCCCGGTGTGTGTCCCGGTTGCAAAATCAACATTCCAACTGACAGTCCAATACTACAGAAACCTATGGCAGCTGCTCTTGAAAAATTGAACTCGGAGAGAGACGATGACTTCTATTATAAAGTGGAAGAGATTATTACAGCTACAAAACAGGTCTGACTCCTACTGTTAATTTTATATTTCTGTTGTTGTTAGTCTTGAAGTCGTGTCCGACCCATTGTGACCCCATGGACAACATTCTTCCAGGCCTTCCTGTCCTCCACCATCTCCCAGAGTCCACTTAAGCTCACACCAACTGCTTCAGTGACTCCATCTAGCCACCTCATTCTCTGCTGTCCCCTTCTTTTGCCATCTATTGTTCCCAGCATTATGCTCTTCTCCAGTGAGTCCCTCCTTCTCATTTGGTGGCCAAAGTATTTGAGTTTCAGCAGGGTGATGTCTCTGCTTTTTAGTATGCTCTCTACATTTGCCATAGCTTTCCTCCCCAGGAGCAAGCGTCTTTTAATTTCTTGGCTGCAGTCCCCATCTGCAGTGATATTGGAGCCCAGGAAAATAAAATCTGTCACTACCTCCATTTCTTCCCCATCTATTTGCCAGGAAGTGAGAGGACCAGATGCCATGATCTTAGTTTTCTTAATGTTGAGTTTCAAACCAATTTTTGTGCTCTTCTCCTTCACCCGCATCAAGAAGATCCTTAGTTCCTCTTCACTTTCTGCCATTAGAGTGGTATCATCTGCATATCTGAGGTTGTTATTTCTCCCCGCAATCTTAATTCCAACTTGTGAGTCGTCTAGCCCCGCCCCTCTCATGATGTGTTCTGCATATAAGTTAAATAGGCAGGGCGACAGTATACAGCCTTGCCAAACTCCTTTCTCAATTATGAACCAATCAGTGGTTCCGTGTCCAGTTCTCACTGTTGCTTCTTGACCCGCATATAGGTTTCTCAAGAAACAAATAAGATGGTCTGGTACTCCCATCTCTTTAAGAACTTGCCACAATTTGTTGTGATCCACACAATCAAAGGCTTTATCATAGTCAATGAAGCAGAAGTGGATGTTTTTCTGGAACTCGCTAGCTTTCTCCATGATCCAGTGTATGTTGGCAATTAGACCTCTAGTTCCTCTCCCTCTTCGAAATCCTACCTGTACTTCTGGTAGTTCTCGGTCCACATACTTCTGGAGCCTAGCTTGTAGGATTTTGAGCATCACTTTGCTAGCATGGGAAATGAGTGCAATGGTGCGGTAGTTTGAACATTCTTTGGCATTGCCATTCTTTGGAATTGGAATGTAAACTGACCTTTTCCAATCCTGTGGCCACTGATGAGTTTTCCAAATTTGCTGGCATATTGAGTGTAGCACTTTTACTGCATCGTCTTTTGGGATTTTGAATAGCTCTGCTAGAATACTGTCTCCTCCACTAGCTTTGCTGTTGCTCAGTCTTCCTAAGGCCCATTTGACTTCTCATTCCAGGATGTCTGGCTTGAGGTCAGTGACCACCCCATCGTAGTTATCAGGGACATTAAGCTCTTTCTTGTATAGTCCCTCTGCGTAATCTTGCCACCTCTTCTTAATCTCTTCTGCCTCTGTTAGGTCCCTGTCATTTTGGTCCTTTATCATGCCCATCTTTGCATGAAACGTTCCCTTCATCGCTCCAATTTTCTTGAAGAGATCTCTGGTCTTCCCTATTCTATTGTTTTCTTCTATTTCTTTGCACTGTTCATTTAAGAAGGCATTCTTATCTCTTCTAGCTGTTCTCTGGAATTCTGCATTCAATTGGGTGTATCTCTTTCTTCCTTGCCTTTTGCTTCCCTTCTTTCCTCAGCTATTAGTAAAGCTTCCCCAGAAAGCTATTTTGCTTTCTTGCATTTCTATTTCTTTGGAATGGTTTTAGTTGCTACCTCTTGTACAATGTTGCGAACCTCTGTTCATAGTTCTTCAGGCACTCTGTCTATCAGATCTAATTCCTTAAATCTATTTGTCACCTCTACTGTATATTCATCAGGGATATGATTTAGGTCACACCTGAGCGTCCTAGTGCTTTTCCCTACTTTCTTCAATTTAAGCCTAAATTTTGCAACAAGAAGCTCACGATCTGAGCCACAGTCAGCTCCTGGCCTTGTTTTTACTGACTGTATACAGCTTCTCCATCTTTGGCTGCAGAGCACATAGTCAATCTGATTTTGATGTTAACCATCTGGTGATGTCCATGTGCAGAGTCGTCTCTTGGGTTGTTGGAAAAGAGTGTTTGCTGTGACCAGCGTGTTCTCTTGACAAAATTCTACCAGCCTGTGCCCTGCTTCATTTTGTACTCCAAGGCCAAACTTGCCTGTTATTCCGGTTATCTTTTGGCTTCCTACTTTAGCATTCCAATCCCCCATGATGATAAGGACATCATTTTTGGGTGTTAATTCTAGAAGGTGTTGTCGGCCTTCATAGAACTGTTCAACTTCAGCCTCTTCAGCACCAGTGGTTCGGGCATAAACTTGGACTACTGTGATGTTGAATGGTTTGCCTTGGATTCGAACTGAGATCATTCTGTCATTTTGGAGATTGTATCCCAGTACTGCTTTTCCTACTCTTTTATTGACTATGAAGGCTACTCCATTTCTTCTGAGGGATTCTTGCCTGCAGTAGAATACCTGATGGTCATCTGAATTGAATTCACCCATTCCTGCCCATTTTAGTTCACTGATTCCTAAGACGTCAATGTCCAGTCTTGTCATTTCTTGTTTCACCACATCCAGCTTGCCTTGATTCATGGATCTTACATTCCAGGTTCCTATGGAGTATAGTTCTTTACAGCATTGGACTCTCCTTTCACCACCAGATACATCCACAACTGAGTGTCCTTTCAGCTTTGACCCAGTCGCTTCATTCTTTCTAGCGCTACTAGTACTAGCCCTCTGCTCTTCCTCAGTAGCACACTGGACACCTTCCGACCTGAGGGGCTCATCTTCCGGTGTCATATCTTTTTGCCTTTTTGTACTGTCCATGGGGTTTTCATGGCAACAATACTGGAGTGGGTTGCCATTTCATTGGCTAGGCAAATAAATACTATTCTGCCCAAATGGGCCCACACACATAGATCAATTAATGCACACAGAATGATCTTGCAATGGGGAAGGCAAAAACCATGCATCCCTTTCATGTCAGACAGAAGGCAAGGGACATACCTTTCCAGATCCAATAACAAGATTGGCAAAATCTACAAATGCCAGGTGTGAGCAGGTAGGGATTCAGCAATGGCATGGTTCCAGTCCTAACCCAGGTGGACTTGCTTTATGGGCCTCAGGCAGATCAGAGTAGGAGGGGGCTGCCGGGGCAGACGGCCAACCTGCATTCACACTGTCCCATCCATCGCTCATACAGGACGTTCCTGCTGCAGTAATTGCCGGGGGTAAATAATCATGTTCCAGCATGTATTTTAAGACTGAAGCAGCCTATGAGTAGTACTGAGCCAGACAAATGCTTCCTACTTACTAACCAGAGGAGGAAAAAAATATACTACTGCTGACTGTGCCATCTAGACCAATCTCTGTAAGACTGTACCAATCATGCACCAGATACAGCACAAACCACCTTGCACTTTAGAACTGATATACACATGATGCCAGTGACCCCATTCCATGGGTGCACATGTGCACACAATTTAATTATGTGGGAACATGAGAGCTTGCATATAAACTTGGCTCCTGTGGTACCATTTTTATGAATGCAGTCCCATGAGGTGGGGGAAAGTATGTTGCCAGCTCAGGGTATGTCCTGGGCGTACGCATAGTGCTGCCATATGCATTGTGTAATGCGCTCACCTCTTCCCAACGGCTATATTTTGTGTGCAAACCAGTCCACTCAAGAGGAAAAATGTGCCCCTTCATGGTTCCACTTGGCAGAAAAACTGCCTAGTAGAACGATTCAGTTACCCTACCAAAGCAAGGCACATACAATTGCAAAGTTGTACACACACTCACATACGCAATTACCTGCCTTGTTCTTCCTAGGAAGTCATTATTCTGACAGGGGCTTAGGTTGGAGTTCAAGTTACATTGTTTAAATTATTGAGAATTCATTCTAAACTACACTAAACATATTTACTACTTGTCTTTCTGCTTGAATTTCAGGTTGTGGCAGGAATCAAGTATCAAATAGACTTTGTAGTTGGAAAGACAAATTGTGTTAAGGCTATGGTTCCAAAACTGAAGAAAATTTGCACTGTGATAGAGGATGAGGTAAAGTTTGGGATTTTAGAAGCTAAAATACATCTTAGATTCTTCAGGGGAAGTACAGCAATTCCGTATTCATCTCTGCATTATCATCTTTGATAAATTTATTCTTGATGCATATGCCTTCAAGTTCTGATTTGACATTCTTTTACAGAGCATTTCTGGTAAGTTCTATTGATTTAATAGGTCTTACTACCAGGTAAATATACATAGGATTGAAGCTTAGTCTTCTGGCTAAATTCCACCATTTTCTTAGTAATATTACTAAGCAGTAACTCAGCATTTCCTGCCTTAACTATTTATTTATTTATTTATTTAAACATTTTCTGTACCGTCCCATACCTAGACATTTCCAGATGGTTTACAGCATATTAATCGTAAAAATAGAAATAAGAATAACAATTGCCCAGAATCCAATGTTAAAATGTAAACACACTGAATAAAACAAGTTCACAATTAAAATACTGGGAGAATAAAAAGGGGTTTGCTTGATGGGTTTGCTTGATGCCGAAAGGAAAGAAGCATTGGTGTCAGGCGAACATCAATGGGGAGGCCCTCCTCCGGGTAGTCACCCTCTTGATCTGTTTCAGGGACAGCTCCCAGAGGAGGGCCTCTGACTCAGATTCCAAGGGGCAGGTGGGCACACAGGGGAGCACCTTCTCCCTTAGCAGAACTAGCAGGATTCATGACTTTTTTTTCACAAAGAAAGTCAGCACAGCTGGAAAGAAAATAAATGGAAGTTTATCTCAGCCTGAAGATGGAGAAATTCCTCAAGCCTTCATAATTACATGTCGTGTTTTGTTCTGTGCTGTGATCATTGATTGGAGGTGTGTGTTTTTGTTTAGGCCCAGCAACTGTTGAGATGTAATGCTACGATTTATGAGAGAGCCTGGGAAGCTGTACTCTCGTCTATGGTGCGATGCAAGACTGAACAACCTCAAGAGGTATGCACATGCAAGCCAAATGTAATTGGAGAAGGATTACTAACAATTAAATGGCAAAAGATTAGTCTACCTTCCAAGGTATTAGTAATGAAGCTCATTCATCTATCCCATTCTAACCAATTATTAAGATAAATTTGAAGAATGTAGAATATCAATTTATCTATTATACTATACTGTGCAATATAATAAAAACTTTAAAGCTATCCACAGGAAAATGCACACATAATTCAGCACAGAATATTTCATGCATTTTTATACAATATTCCATTTTATTTAACATTCCATTCCATGAGGCAGGCAGGGATCTTCTGGAAGCTCCCTAAGAGCTTTGCCTGTAGTACAAATTTACTACAGGCCAGGTCAGACTTGGCTCCCTTGGCTGGCATGCTCTGGCCAATGTGACAAGAGAAAACCGTTCTAATAAAGGGAGGAACAAGGGGAGGCTGCAGCTTTTCCACATGCAACGTATGGGACTACATACACTGCAGCCTGGTTATACCTCCGCAGGTTTTGAAGCCAAGACAGGTATGTGCACTATGCATCACTGCCTTTCTAGGGAGGGTGTAACATCTCCTTTAAGGATGCCCTTCCTCTGAAAGAAAATACAAAGAAAGAGCTTATCAAGGCCTCACTGAACCCCACCCCACCCCACCCCACCCCACAAATATGTTAATGCAACTTCCCAGTGTTGTAACTCCAGACCTGGACAATTAGTAATCCCATCTTTACTGTTACAGAGAGATAGAAATCTGTGATGTTTCCAGAAAAGGCTTTTATTGTGCAAACACCTTGCCTCATTCATGGAATGTTATAGGGAGTCCAAATTTCATTCCCCCCACCCCCACCAGTATTTTGGCACTCCTCCTCCTGTCATTTCCCTAACTGCTGCAAATCTATCATGAAAGAATAGGTAGAATACCTACCTTTGTGGGTGCATGAATCTGCTCTCCCAAACACCGCAGCCATTTTTTAAAAGCAGGGGTGACTTTCCTTTCTCTGAATAAGCCTTGAACTTCCAGAAGGGGAAAGTGGGCTACTGTACATGAGGCACTAAACCCAGTATTTTACTACAGCTTCTTCCATCCTCTTTATTGGGGGAAGACCACAGCCTTGATACAAGCTTTCTTTCCCCAAAGATTTTCCTTCGCTGCTTCTTTATGTTCCATTATGCAACAAGATGCTGATAAGGCCAAAGGCTTCTGATAGGGAATCACTGTGGCATCCCAGACTTTCCCAGGCCTAACTGCCACCCCCTCACCAAAATGGCTGGAAAATACGGGCAAGGCTGTTTAACATTCAGGGCCCTCAAACTTAGTGAGATTGCCAGTGCAAATGCCATGGAGACCCAGTCGGCTGCATTCCCCTCTCCCTCCTCTACTTCGTTCTTCAATTTAGCCAAGAAGGCCAGATCCTGAGACAGGTCAGTTAGAAAGGCAAAGATGTAAATGTACAGACTGAAAAGAAATATTTGCTTTGTGTTCAGGATTTAATGCTTGCTTGTCTTTTCTTTTTCTTCCTTTTTCCTCCCTCCAGCATAAAGGTACCTGTACACCTAATTCCTAGGTGGATACTACCAACACGTTTTTGTGCATGCCATTCAGAA